TGAAGAAATCCCAATTAAAGCGTGAAGGAAGGTTAAGACAGGTAGTTTTCTTTTGAAATCTCAATTATAGCGTGAAGAAATCATAATTATAGCGTGAAGGAATGTTAGGATAGGTCAGTTTTGTTTTCGCCTGTCAATGACCCCAGCAAAGAATGTTTCTACGGCACTAAAAGTCTCCTATGCTCAAAGATCCTCAGCAAATAAGACCTGTAGTAACCTATGTGACTGAAACGTGGTCGAATACCTAAAAAAGGAGAGATCATTCTGAGAGTGTTTGAGCGGAAGATACTGCGTAAGACTTTCGTTCCAACCCAAGAGAAAGACGATAGCTGGAGAGTCAGGATGAACCACGAGTTGGATAATATGATGGGGGCGAAAAGATAAGGAAGAGATAAAGGAAGAAGAAGAAGACTTGACAAGTGGAAGTTAGACGAAATCAAAAGAACGCACAAGTGGGAATCAAAACCATTCAAAATGTCACTTAACTCATGAGTAACCATCATTTTGTATGTGTGCATGTGTAGATGTTTGTACAGAATTTTTAGAGTTCTTTCAGACAATCCGTGAGCAGTTACATGCAAGTGCTGAACGCTTTGGAGATTGTGCTACATTTTGCGCAGAACTAGTTTCTCTAAAGTTTGACATCCAAGCTTGAATAGTTCTTCTATCTGGAACAGAATCAGGCTAGCTGTATACGATCCGAATGTAAAATACTTGCTCAGTAGTAATCTCAGAAAAACCATTATGAATGTACCCCTCTACATTATTGTTAATTGATAACCCCCTCCGTCGCGATATCTTCACCACAACTCATACAGTAACCTCACTAAATACAGTGATACGGAGATCTTTCTGCCGCACCCAGGAGAACAAGATATAACCAGGGATTATACAGCTACTATAAGAAGTCAATACTCTGAGAATAGATCAAGGGATTGAAATGGGCAAAACGTGTGGTTAGATTGGAGGGAAACAAAAATTGAGAGAGGCCAGGAGCCGATGTGTTTTGCTATTCAAAAAGAAAAAGAAGTGATGCCAGAAATTTATGATCAATCTTGGCCAAATTTTAGACTTTCGTCCTTTATAGCGTTTTGGCAAATTTTCAACTTAGTCTAAAAAATTAACGATAAAAAACTTACTTATCCATATACTGTGTTAATCTAACGTAAGCGATACAAGCCGCATCTTCTCCTAAAAGATGAACGTGAGGATTTAAAATTGTGGTGTTAACAGCTTTGCAATTTTTTCCCAAAACTAAAACGAATAAAATAATTATTAAAGAAAATTCGTTTCGAAATTAAGTTACCGTTATCGAAGTAGAATTTTTGGAAATCCATTCCTTCAACTAAATTTCCCATTGCTTCGGGTTCAAAAGCTGTTAGATGTGGATCACAAATTTTCCTTCAAAACAAACAATGTCATAAATATATTAATGTTACAAGAAGCGAAAAATCTTACGTATAAGCTTCGAAATCTCCCGTGTTTATAGCTTCGATAAGTTGTTCAGTCATTTTGATGATTTCTTGTCGTCGAGCTGCGGAATTAAATGGTAGAATGTAAAATAAAACGATGACGTTTTTTCAATATTAAAGGTAGACTTATTTCTTTTTACTTAATTAGCACAAAACGAAATAAAAATACACCAGTGATAAAGAAACACATTTATATTACAACAACATCTAAAATTTATCAACAGAGTCACTACATTGAGGGCACACCAAGTACCACTGGTTTATTAACCAACATACTCATTATTGTTAGAAAATAAAAAGAAAATAGTAATAAAAAAATAAACAAAAATAAACGAGACTTACGATTAGGAAAAATTGAAATAAAATATAAATATATATAGACAAAGAACAAGAACGCAATCACAAAAACTTACGTAAATAGGTTCCAAAAATTACTTCAGAGTACAAACATGCAGTAAAATATTTTTTTGGGTTAAATAATTTTAAAATTAATTTGTGAATTTCTTTTTAATAAAAAAAAATTAGGTGCAAAGTTAAAAAATAAGGTTAAATTTACATAGATATTTATAGAGACCATTAAAAATTCTACGAGATTGTTTTTAATTAATTAAGATTAATTTATTGATAGATATTGAAGGCAAAAAGTAGCTAATCTAAAGTTAATTAATTTAATTTAGGAAAAAATAATAAATTAGGTTGGGATTAGAGCAACTTACTTTTTAATAAAATTTATTCTCATTTTTAAGCTATAATTAGCATACCTGAACTTTGGGAATTTGTGGACAGCTGCGAGTATGGCTTTTCTGGACATACTATCCTTATTTCTACAAATAGATTGCAAAAAAATAGAAGCCGAGTTAGTACAGCTTTGGTTTTTTTATAGCTTACATGCGGGAATCGCATGATCTCTCTCATCACATTTTTTGATCGATTTTTACATCGACTTTATTTCATTTCATATAATATTATAAAAAAAAAAATTAGAGGTGAAGAANAAAGATAGAAACTACTTCCATAAATAAGCAACTGCTTGTTAAATACTGAAAAGTGCTTGCAGAAGACTAGAAACTGATTCCAAGAGACAGAAATTGCTTCCAAAATAGTGAATAGTACTTGCAAAAGACTAGAAACTGCTTCAAAATACTGAAAGGTGCTTATAGAAGACTAGAAACTGCTTTCAAAAGATAGAAACTACTTCCATAAATAAGCAACTGCTTGTTAAATACTGAAAAGTGCTTGCAGAAGACTAGAAACTGATTCCAAGAGACAGAAATTGCTTCCAAAATAGTGAATAGTACTTGCAAAAGACTAGAAACTGCTTCAAAATACTGAAAGGTGCTTATAGAAGACTAGAAACTGCTTTCAAAAGATAGAAACTACTTCCATAAATAAGCAACTGCTTGTTAAATACTGAAAAGTGCTTGCAGAAGACTAGAAACTGATTCCAAGAGACAGAAATTGCTTCCAAAATAGTGAATAGTACTTGCAAAAGACTAGAAACTGCTTCAAAATACTGAAAGGTGCTTATAGAAGACTAGAAACTGCTTTCAAAAGATAGAAACTACTTCCATAAATAAGCAACTGCTTGTTAAATACTGAAAAGTGCTTGCAGAAGACTAGAAACTGATTCCAAGAGACAGAAATTGCTTCCAAAATAGTGAATAGTACTTGCAAAAGACTAGAAACTGCTTCAAAATACTGAAAGGTGCTTATAGAAGACTAGAAACTGCTTTCAAAAGATAGAAACTACTTCCATAAATAAGCAACTGCTTGTTAAATACTGAAAAGTGCTTGCAGAAGACTAGAAACTGATTCCAAGAGACAGAAATTGCTTCCAAAATAGTGAATAGTACTTGCAAAAGACTAGAAACTGCTTCAAAATACTGAAAGGTGCTTATAGAAGACTAGAAACTGCTTTCAAAAGATAGAAACTACTTCCATAAATAAGCAACTGCTTGTTAAATACTGAAAAGTGCTTGCAGAAGACTAGAAACTGATTCCAAGAGACAGAAATTGCTTCCAAAATAGTGAATAGTACTTGCAAAAGACTAGAAACTGCTAAAAAATACTGAAAGGTGCTTACAGAAGACTAGAAACTGCTTTCAAAAGATAGAAACTACTTCCATAAATAAGCAACTGCTTCTAAAATACTGAAAAGTGCTTGCAAAAGACTAGAAACTGCTTCCAAAATACTGAAAAGTGCTTACAGAAGACTAGAAACTGATTCCAAGAGACGGAAACTGCTTCCAAAATAGTGAATAGTGCTTACAAAAGACTAGAAACTGCATCCAAACGATAGAACTTGCTTTCAAAAATAAGAAACTGCTTCTAAAATACTGAAACGTGTTCCCAACAGATAGAAATTGCTTTCAAAATACTGAAAGCTGCTTGCAAACGACTAGAACTACTTTCAAAATACTGAAAAGTGCTTACAGAAGACTAAAAACTAATTTCAAGAGACAGAAATTGTTTCCAAAATAGTGAATAGTGCTTGCAAAAAACTAGTGACTGATTCCAAGAGACAGAAATTGCTTCCGAAACTGCATCCAAACGATAGAACCTGCTTCCAAAAATAAGAAATTGCTTCTAAAATACCGAAAAGTGCTTTCAATCGAGAAGTTCTAGAACTAGAATCATTCAGGTTTAGCCGTCTTGAGAGACGTGGGGCTAAATCCAAATGTTTCTAGTTCTGAGTCTAGTGTTAGTTCTAGTTTTGCACTATCACTAAAACTAACACAAGACCTAGAACTAGAATCATTCGGGTTTAACCGTCTTGAGAGATTTGCGGCTAAATCCGAATGTTTCTAGTTTTCGCTCTAGTGTTAGTTCTAGTATTGCACTAGCAATATCACTAGAACTAACACAAGACCTAGAACTAGAATCATTCAGATTTAGCCGTCTTGAAAGACGTGCGGCTAAATCCGAATGTTTCTAGATCTAGATCTAGTGTTAGTTCTAGTGACAGTGCTAGGTAGCGCTAGTTAGCATTAGATATCACTATGTTGCATATTTTTATTGAATTACAACTAAAACTAACACTAGACTTAGAACTAGAAACATTCCATTTAGCAGTGCGTCTCTTAACCATTTGTAGGTAACCGCAGGGTTTTTAGGTATATTTAAACTTATTTATCCAGATGTGACGTTAGAAGTTTAGTGGTGTTGCTGAATGTTGTTGTTCAAAAAGGTATCTCTTTGATAAATTGTTATTAGATCTGATTTGTAAGCAGCTTCGTGTATTGTTTAATTATTACAATTACAATTTTCAAACATTTCTTATTTTTATCTCGAAAAATGTTATATTTTGTGTAACTTTGTGTTGAGGTTGAAAAAGTTGTGAAAATCTTAGAAAATCTCCCGTTGGATAATTCTGAACAGACACATATAGAAGATGACATTGTTCTTACCAATGCTAGTGAGATGCCTAAGCTAGAAGATGAAGAAGTAGAACTAACTAATCAGAATGAGGAAAGTGACACTGAAGTAGTAGAAATACGTGGCAAAGGGCCGAAGAAGAAGAATAAGGTAGAAAATGGAGAAAACGGGAAAAACAGACTGAAATTCCAGGATACGATTATCCAGAGGGAACAATTTTTGCAATTTGTGCGAAAGATATTACCTTTCAAAGTAATTTGTACGCCAAAGGAATAGAACGCTAAACTTGAAAGAAGAAGTGTTGTTGTGTTTCCTTGACATAAATTTCTTAATGAGTTACCACAGTTTTCCAAGCTATAAACTCTTTTAGAGTAATGCTGAAGACTTAGGTGTACCACTTGTCATACGAACAATGACCCGTAACAGGTTTCAGGAGATTTTATCATATCTGCATGTCAACGATAACAACATTATTCCTAAGAATAATACAGATAAACTATACAAGATCCGTCCGTATTTTGAAACACTTAACCATCAGTTCTCCAGTTATTACCATGACGCTAGGCAGCTGGCTGTTGATGAATTTAATCCCATGAAGCCCATAACAAGGAGTTATAAGCTCTGGTGCTTAGCAGATGAGAAAGAGTACATAAAGAAATTTGAAGTGTATCAGGGAAAATCTCATGAAACTGAAGAAAAATTTCAATGTTATGGATTAGGTGAAAGGATTATCCTTCAACTTTCTAAAGATGAGTGGAATAAAAATAGATTGATTTATTTCGATAACTTTTTTACAAGTATCCGACTTTTGGAGAAACTGTAAATTGAGAAAATCTTAGCTTGTGGAACAATAAGGTCTACAAAAAAGTTGTACCAAACAATTTGGTAGATGATAAACGAATGAAAAGAGGAGATTATGATTACCGGATCTCAAATTTAGATATAAGTTATTACAAATGGAAGTACAGTAAGTGCGTAAAATTTTACTCTAATTTTCATGGAACAGAAAGGACCACCATGTTCAGCAACTTCGACAAGTTCCAAGAAGTGATATACAGGATGTCCTACGACGTGACTGCCATAGCTTGGGAGTGATTTCAAGTCAAAAATGTCTAATGAACATACATCCAAAACGCTAACGTAACCGAGCTACAAGTATTTGAAATTTTAAATAAGTAGTAGTAGACCAAGGACAGTAGAATCTAACAGGACTGCTACATCCATTGTTGTGACAACCTGCCCGCAAACTACGTCACACCATTTTCCACGCCCAGCTGTTGTTATGGTCTATGCGTTTGCTGTGTGTTTTTAGAGGTTATATCGTAGACGTAATCATATTATTTTTGAAGTTTTATGTTTTTAGACGTATTAATGTCTATCATATAACCTCTAAAAACACAAACAGTTACCAGGATGTAGCAGTCCTGTTAGATTCTACTGTCCTTGGTAGTAGACCATTTCAAAAAAACAGCTTTATTGAATTAGTTGCTCAAAATGTTCAGCCAGCTGTATACAGTCTAGCTCTTCTTAGAATTGAAGTGCTAACAGTCTTAGGATCAGCACGAATAGTTTCTACGGCAGCCATAATTCTAGCTACTGGTTGTTCTCTGCATAAACTAAACTTTTCCCATGAAAAGTAATCTAAGGGATTCAAGTCTGGTGACCTTGCTGGCTAAGGAACTGCTGAACCTCTTCCAATCCACCGGTTTGTATAATTTTGATTAAGAAAATCTGATTTCCATTACACAATCCATAAACAAACCGTATTCTTCGTTCGAAAAAGTAAACATACCTATAAGAATATTTTAATGTAACACACGAAAATAAACACGCAAAATTAATTTAATTGACGTTTACTGTCACAATAAATAACAAATTCTGATTCACAGCCACCTGGACTTTTTAATAATAAGCTTGTAGCTTGGTTACGATAGCGTTTTGGGTGTATGTTCCTTAGACATTGTTGACTTTAAATCACCCTGTATGCTTATATTCAAAATTTTTTATTTTGTCATATATTCTAAATGTGAACAGGAAAGGATGACGGTATCAGATTTTCGTCGTTCTGTAGCTACAACTCTGATAAATAAATATACAAATTTACTGCGCCCACGAAAATCTCGTAGTGCAAGTTCACCAGCCCAGTTACCCAAAAGACGAAAAGACTTGGGAACCGTGGTTCGCACTAGTTTACTTTTGGAAAAGAAAGAGGAGGATGTGAAAATTGTTCTACCAAAGCTATTCAGTCCAGACCCCACTCAAAATGTATTGCGTGCAATGTTTATTTATGTTGTAATAAGGTTTTTCTGAATATCATAATGTGATTTAGCCAAAGCAAGGGTTACTTATTTTCTAACAGCAATAAAAGTTTTTGTATACTGCAACATCACTAAAATATATTTTAATTCCTGACGGTATTCTCAAGCAGCATGATGCCCTTGGAATGGAGGAGATTGTCATATTTTGCTAAAATTTATTCCAAAGGCCTTTCCTGAGTGTATTTTGACAGCGTTTTAATACTGTCATAAAGTTTCAAAATTTTTGACTTCTTGGAACACAAAAAGTTAAGACGGCTAATCCTAAACGTTTCTAGTTCTAGATGAAATGTTAGTTCTAGTGACAATGCTAGGTAGCGCTAATTAGCATTAGATATCACTGTGTTGCATATTTTTATTGAATTAAAACTAGAACTAACACTAGACCTAGAACTAGAAAGTTTCGGGTTTAGCCGTGCGTCTTCAGACGATATAGACGATCACTAGAACTAACACAAGACCTAGAATCATTCGGATTTAGCCGTCTTGAGAGACTTGCACCTAAATCCAAATGATTCTAGTTCTAGGTCTTGTGTTAGTTCTAGTTTTAATTCAATATGCAATAGACGTTCTTAAGACCTTTTTTCAAGCAAAACTTTTCTTTTGCAAAACTACCCAATGCTATACTATTAAGCTATGTTACATTTGATGTGGGACAGTGCAATTACACCGTAGTTTCGTAACTACGGTTACTGCATTCATATATTGCTAGTTATATGAAATTCTCGGTATACAAAAAACAAATAATTTTGAATCAACAAAATTTGTATTAATTTGGTCTCTATTTAATTAAAATTAATTTCGAACTCAATTAAAATTAAAAAAATTATTACAACTCTTTTTAATTAAAACCAACCTGAATCGTTATGTTGCAAACGATCATATTTGATGGTTGAGTCCACCCATTTCTCAACATTATCCAGTTTCTGCGCACCGCTGCTATCTGCACGTTACAACAAGAAAAAAAAACCAAAAATAGCATGCAGCTAAAAACCGATGCACAACATTTAACAAATAAAGTCAGTCAAAAAATTGCTTAGTTCAACGACATTTAAATTAGTTCCACAATTGCACATTTATTTTATTTCACAAAATCACAATGTATTTTATTACATTTTTAAATTAATGTTAATTTGAGTTATAATTATTAAAGCTTACTTTCTTTTTTGTTTGTTAAAAAAAGTTAGTACTTTAGAAGAAGTAAATTAACCCCTAACCTTGAACACCCTGTATTAAAGCCTGAGTAAGATTGATAGCGGTTGGACGTGAAATGGGAAAGTTGGTGGTTGTGGTCGTAATAGCAGCGGTTGCGATTGAACTGGAAGGTGAATTGGACGTTGTCGGCACCCGTGGAGAAGGTGGTGGTGTTCCAGGGCCTAAATTTTATTAATTTTTGGTCGTTTTCGTTGGTAATGAAAAAAGAATGAAAAAAATAAAAATTAAGAAAGTAATTAAAGTGTTAAAAAATAATTAAATTAGAAAATATTTAAATAGTTTAAGATGGAGAGAATTTTTTTTTTAATTTAATGAAATTTTTAACTAAATCTACGTATATATTATATTTACAACATAAATAATAAGATTTTCGTAGAGATCAGAAAATTCTAACCTAATTTGATGTATCACACCCTATATTTATCTTAAAATTCATTCTTAAAACAATAAATGTCATAATTAATTAGTGTTTTGTTTTCGGCCATCTTGATTTTATAAAAATAAAGATATCTTGGGTGTTTAACACCTAAATATATCGAGTTTGGACTCATTTTACACGATTTTTAATTATCTGTCGCATTATTTATAAATCATTTGTTTTCGGCCATCTTGGATTTTATAAAATCTAAAAATCAAAATATCTCGGAAAGCTTAAAATCAAAATACGTTGTGTTTGGATTTGTTTTAGAGAATCTTTCATAAAGATTAAAAATAATTCAAAATTAAAGTTGATATTTACACCCGAATATAGGCATTTATTCGTGAAGATTTATTAAATTATTAAAAAACATCAAAAATAATAAGATTTTCGTAAAGTTCAGAAAATTTTAACCTAATTTAATGTGTCACATCTTACATTTATCTTAAAATTGATTCTTAAAAGAACAAATGTCATAATTAATTAGTGTTTTGTTTTCGGCCATCTTGATTTTATAGAAATAATGATATCTTGGGTGTTATAACACCTAGATATATCGAGTTTGGACTCATTTTACACGACTTTTAATTATCTATAGCAATATTTATAAATCATTTTGTTTCGGCCATCTTGGAACTTTTAAAATATAAAAATCAAAATATCTCGGGAAACTTAAAAGCAAAATACGTCATGTTTGGATCCATTTTAGAGAATGTTTCATAAAGATTACAAATAATTCAAAATTAATGCTGATATTTACACCCGAATATAGGCATTTATTCGTCAAGATTTATTAAATTATTAAAAAAACATCAAAAATAATAAGATTTTCGTAAAGTTCAGAAAATTTTAACCTAATTTAATGTGTCACATCTTACATTTATCTTAAAATTCATTCTTAAAACAATAAATGTCACAATTAATTAGTGTTTTGTTTTCGACCATCTTGATTTCAGAAAAATAAAGATATCTGGGGTGTTATAACACCTAAATATATCGAGTTTGGACTCATTTTACACGATTTTTAATTATCTATCACATTATTTATAAATCATTTGTTTGCGGCCATCTTGGATTTTTTAAAATATGAAAATCAAAGTATCTCGGAAAGCTTAAAAGCAAAATACGTCGTGTTTCGATTCATTTTAAAGAATGTTTCATAAAGATTAAAAATAATTCATAATTAAAGTTGATTTTTATACTCCAAATATTAGCATTTCCTCATCAAAATTTATTAAATTATTAAAAAAACATCAAAAATAATAAGATTTTCATAAAGATCAGAAAATTCTAACCTAATTTTATGTATTACACCCTATATGTATCTTAAAATTCACTTTTAAAAGTATAAATGTCGCAATTAATTGGCGTTTTGTTTTCCGCCATCTTGATTTTATAAAAACTAAGATATCTTGGGTATTACAACACCTAGATATGTCGAGTTTGGACTCATTTAACACGATTTTTAATTATCTATCGCAATATTTATAAATCATTTTGTTTCGGCCATCTTGGAACTTTTAAAATATGAAAATCAAAATATCTCGGGAAGCTTAAAAGCAAAATACGTTGTGTTTGGATTTATTTTAGAGAATGTTTCATAAAGATTAAAAATAATTCAAAATTAAAGTTGATATTTACACCCGAATATAGGCCTTTATTCGTGAAGATTTATTAAATTTTTAAAAAACATCAAAAATAATAAGATTTTCGTAAAGATCAGAAAATTTTAACCTAATTTAATGTGTCACATCTTATATTTATCTTAAAATTCATTCTTAAAAGAACAAATGTCATAACTAGTGTTTTGTTTTCGGCCATCTTGATTTTATAGAAATGATGATATCTTGGGTGTTATAACACCTAGATATGTCGAGTTTGGACTCATTTTACACGACTTTTAATTATCTATCTCAATATTTATAAATCATTTTGTTTCGGAACTTTTAAAATATAAAAATCAAAATATCTCGGGAACCTTAAAAGCAAAATACGTCATGTTTGGATCCATTTTAGAGAATGTTTCATAAAGATTAAAAATAATTCAAAATTAAAGTTGATATTTACACCCCCAAATATAGCTATTTATTCGTCTAAATTTCTTAAATTATCAAAAATAATAAGATTTTCATAAAGATCAGAAAATTTTAATCTAATTTGATGTATCACACCCTATATTTATCTTAAAATTCACTTTTAAAAGTATAGATGTCACAATTAATTGGTGTTTTGTTTTCCGCCATCTTGATTTTATAAAAACTAAGATATCTTGGGTATTACAACACCTAGATATGTCGAGTTTGGACTCATTTAACACGTTTTTTAATTGTCTATTACAATATTTATGAATCATTTGTTTTCAGCCATCTTCGATTTTAAATAAAATATAAAAATCGAAATATCTCGGAAAATTTAAAAGCAAAATAGGTGGTGTTTGGGCTCATTTTAATGGTTTCTTCACGAAGATTAATAATATCAGTAAATTAACGTTGTACTTAGTTTATAACCGGAAGTCACCAATATATCGGATCAAATTGTCGATGATACTACAAAGTTAATCACATTATAATATTATTTTTTTTTGATTTGATTAAATTATTTAAAAAAAAATTCTCTCCAAATTATTAAAATAAGATAGACAAGATGTTAGTAATTTAAAATTTTTTTCAACATATCCCAAAATATCACAAAAAAATCCAAAACGGTTGTATCCCAACATAAATTTAACAAAAACAACCACCAAAACACAGATTTCTTTTTAATCAACTTGTTTTAACGTCAATTTCGTTTTATCACATACTCTCCCTGGCTCGTTTTCCCGTTAAAATAGCAGCCATCGCTGCTATGGTGTCGTTGAAGCAACCAATTTTTACAAAATAATTTAAAAAATAATTAAATTAAATCCTTTTGTTTTAATGTTAATGTTTTTTTACTAAAACAAGGTTCACACGCGAACTTTTTAGACAATATGCGGAACGGGCTGTGCCAAAATTTATACTGGTGTGCGTTCAACGATGTTACAGCACCCAACGAGATTTAACTTGTGAACCGGTCTCTTGGTTATTTATAAACGTGCCAATGTTAAAAATAGTTTTCGAATATTTCTTTTCACAATAATGTTTTAATTAACTAATTATTTATTTATTTCAAAAAAAAGTTATTTATTAAGTACTAGTTTTATTTGGTTCCAACTAGTTTTTAATCTAATAATATTTTTAGAATTTTTTTTCAAAATCAAGAAATCGAAGATAAACAAACATTTACAAAGACACGTTTCTCTACTTATCTTGATTTCGTAACATTTAAAATCGTGCACCTGATTTTCTAAGTTAAACAAATACAAAATTAATCGACATTTATCTAATTCTAATCTAAGTAGAAAATTGCAACATTCCAAACAAAAAAAAATACTAATAATTTTTAATTAAAATTTTTTAATTAAAAATCTTTTAACCTTTTCAATTTCATGCAGAATTTTCCGATAATCAAATTTTTCCATTAATAATAATTTACTTTCTTTCTAATCTCTCATCTAATTCTAATTTCCCTAATGAGAAATGAAAACATGCGTTTTGCCTGCGATCTTATTTGCGATGACACACACACAAGGTGATGATTGTTGAGATCGATTATGTAGGTGGTGAGGCTGAGAGATAATAATTTTGAGAGTGCAAAGCGAACACACTTTATCGTCGATAAACAAGAAAAATTAAAATAAAAACTTATATAAAAGTAGATTTATGGTGAGAAAGTAAAGAAGAGTAAAAATGATTGTGTGTAATAAAGAGAATAAATTAAGCTTATAATTAAACTTTTACGTTGTTGTTGTTGAAACATCCATAATGATGATGATGATGATGAAGATGGAAATGTTTTATTTTGTGTAAAAATGTGCTTAAAATAAATAATAATAAGTATTTGTTATTAAAAGATTTTCTTTGTAACTTACTCTATGATTGAAATAATGTTATACTAAGATGTATAAACAATGTGTATAAAGTTGGAACAAAAATTTATATATTTCTATGCAACCCCTTTATATTTAATGGTTAAGGAAGGAGGAAATATTTTTTAATTATAGAGGATAATCTATAAAACTCAAAATATCTCGGGAAACTTAAAAGCAAAATACGTCATGTTTGGATCCATTTTAGAGAATGTTTCATAAAGATTAAAAATAATTCAAAATTAAAGTTGATATTTACACCCGAATATAGGCATTTATCCGTGAAGATTTATTAAATTATTAAAAAACATCAAAAATAATAAGATTTTCGTAAAGATCAGAAAATTTTAACCTAATTTAATGTGTCACATCTTATATTTATCTTAAAATTCATTCTTAAAACAATAAATGTCACAATTAATTAGTGTTTTGTTTTCGGCCATCTTGATTTTATAAAAATAAAGATATCTTGAATATTATAACACCTAGATATGTCGAATTTGGTCTCATTTTAGACGATTTTTAATTATCTATCGCATTATTTATAAATAATTTGTTTTCGGCCATCTTGGAACTTTTAAAATATATCTCGGGAAACTTTAAAGCAAAATACGTTGTATTTGGGTTCATTTTAAAGAATGTTTCGTAAAGATTAAAAATAATTCAAAATTAAAGTTGATGTTTACACCCGAATATAGGCAGTTAATCGTCAAGATTTATTAAATTATAAAAAAAACATCAAAAATAATAAGATTTTCGTAAAGATCAGAAAATTTTAACCTAACTTAATGTGTCACATCTTACATTTACCTTAAAACTCATTCTTAAAACGATAAATGTCATAAATAATTGGTGTTTTGTTTTCGGCCATCTTGATTTTATAAAAATAATGATATTTTGGGTGTTATAACACCTAGATATATCGAGTTTGGACTCATTTTACACGATTTTTAATTATTTATCGCATTATTTATAAATCATTTGTTTTCGGCCATCTTGGATTTTATAAAATCAAAAAATGAAAATATCTCGGGAAGCTTTAAAGCAAAATACGTTGAGTTTGGATTCATTTTAAAGAATGTTTTATAAAGATTAAAAATAATTTATAATTAAAGTTGATTTCTATGCAACCCCTTTATATTTAAGGGTTAAGGAAGGAGGAAATATTTTTTAATTATAGAGCATAATCTATAAAACTCAAAATATCTCGGGAAACTTAAAAGCAAAATACGTCATGTTTGGATCCATTTTAGAGAATGTTTCATAAAGATTAAAAATAATTCAAAATTAAATTTGATATTTACACCCGAATATAGGCATTTATTCGTGAAGATTTATTAAATTATTAAAAAACATCAAAAATAATAAGATTTTCGTAAAAATCAGAAAATTTTAACCTAATTTAATGTGTCACATTTTATATTTATCTTAAAATTCATTCTTAAAACAATAAATGTCACAATTAATTAGTGTTTTGTTTTCGGCCATCTTGATTTTATAAAAATAAAGATATCTTGAATATTATAACACCTAGATATGTCGAGTTTGGTCTCATTTTACACGATTTTTAATTACTTATCGCATTATTTATAAATCATTTGTTTTCGGCCATCTTGGATTTTATAAAATCTAAAAATCAAAATATCTTGGGAAACTTTAAAGCAAAATACGTTGTGTTTGGATTCATTTTAAACAATGTTTCATAAAGATTAAAAAATAATTCATAATTAAAGCGATATTTACACCACAAATATAGGGATTTATTCGTCAAAATTTATTAAATTATTTAAAAAACATCAAAAATAATAAGATTTTCGTAAAAATCAGAAAATTTTAACCTAATTTAATGTGTCACAACCTATATTTATCTTAAAATTCACTTTTAAAAGTATAGATGTCACAATTAATTAGTGTTTTGTTTTTGGCCATCTTGATTTTATAAAAATTATGATATCTTGGGTGTTATAACACCTAGATATATCGAGTTTGGACTCATTTTACACGATTTTTAATTATTTATCGCATTATTTATAAATCATTTGTTTTCGGCCATCTTGGATTTTATAAAATCAAAAAATGAAAATATCTCGGGAAGCTTTAAAGTAAAATACGTTGAGTTTGGATTCATTTTAAAGAATATTTTATAAAGATTAAAAATAATTTATAATTAAAGTTGATTTCTATGCAACCCCTTTATATTTAAGGGTTAAGGAAGGAGGAAATATTTTTTAATTATAGAGGATAATCTATAAAACCATGAGATTATTAACATTCAATCCAATACAATAATTTTACAAGTAATAAAAATACTGCTTAATATAGAGAGACATTATTAATAGTAATAGATATCAATAGATGGCGCTTACCCATAACTTATCTTTTAAATGCACCGTTTTATGGATCTTAAATGTCGATCATTATGCATAATTAATAAATACAGTGGACGTTTTTGCTGCATTATTTCTTCTATTTATTCTTCTAATTCCTTTAGTCTGTATTAATCCATTGGTTCAAAAGTACAGTGTGTTAATTAATTATTGTACCCGACGTCATAATTGCAAGTATGCAACCAACATTACAGTGCAATACGCAAATCGCGCATATTGGTGATATTGGTTGCATACTTGCAATGATGACGTCGGGTACGATAATTAATTAACACACTGTATATGTATCCAACATAAGCGTTTATCATACGGGAAGCTATTTTTTAGAATTATTATTATTAGATATAGTCAAGACACCGATCAGATGCAAGGTTATGGTGAATGATAAAATCATATACCAGGAAATTAAATTTAAATACCTGAGTGTTGAAATATCTGGATACAGGGATTTTGAGACAGAAGTATTCCGTATTATATTCGAACTGAAGCCAAAGCCTGGATCTACAAGACTACAATTAGACTAGAATAGCTAAGAAAACACTGATGGACAGAAAAAGAAGTGACAACATTAGACAGGATATACAGGGTGTTTCAGGTTTTTGTAGCAAGGAGTTTAACAGTCGATAGACCTTTTAAAATTAATACAAAAACATCATATAAACATAGGTCGACAAACGCTTTGTTTTGGAGATACAGGGTGTTCAAATTAAATTTTTAAATTCATTTTTATTTAATATTACACGTGTATTTCAACCGATTCTCTTCAAATTTGGTGTACGGAGGTTTTTTGGCATGAGAAAAACGATTATGGAGTCCGTTTTACTATAGCCGCTCTGTAACATATTCTTTACGGATTAAAATAATAATAACTTTTCTGACAGTATATTTTTTGGCTTTTTGAATAAAAATTCTTATACTCGGTACTTTTTTAAGCAAAAACGGTACTCTTATCAAAATGCGCTCAAGTTGATCGTTTTCAGGATAATCCGCTTTTTATTATTCGATATAGACAAATTTTTTTTAGAGGATTGTTAATGATAGGTATAATAATGATTGCCATTGAAACAAAAACCTGAAACATCCTGTATAATATCAATGACTGGGTATTAAACAGAAAGAAAAAATGCAAAGATATGTTTGAAAATAGGGAATTATGCCTAAATACAGAAGAAGAAAACATCCGTATGATGACAAATTAAAACTTTAACTACAGTTATTCTAAAAACGTTGAATGTATTGAGGACGGAGATAACAGCACCCCCTGTTCTCTCAGATGTTTACTGAGAATGTCAAGAAGATCCTCAACATATGATAAAAACTTCACAGAGTGTCGCAAAATCAGAAATGGTATTGAATTATAAACTACTTCAGTCAAAACGGGGAATGGTCAAAAATTGATTCGAAAAATGAATATGGATTTGTTTCTCCATATGGCAAGAAAGCTGAAAATTTTATATGGTACACCCCATATTTTTTTAACCTACCAGAGAGAGATTCATTTATTTGTTCTTCTATTTGTTATTTTTGGCAAACAAAAGATAGTGAACTAAAAGAATATCAATCAAAGTTGATAGAAGAGAGTTTTAAAGGGCGTAGTGAAAATTGCCAAGAAAAACTTAAAATCAAAATAACTCGAAAACGAAAAGCGCTAGGTACCAATAACTTTTATCAAAGTCAACTTATTTTTTAAAAAGTGCAATAAAAACTATAGCATTCCATTTAAAATAACGAAGTTGTGGTCTACTTCCGGGGGACCGGAAGTGGCCACCATCTTGAAAATACTTTAGATCGAAAGGTCGGTGTGAACCTCCCACATAAACTAAATTTCAGAAATGTAGATGCAATAGAACAGAAATAAAATGGGTGTTGCTAACTTTTTGGCGGACACTGTATACAGTCTGTCCGTAAAGTAACGAATATAGGCGATAAAATCATTATAAACGGTTTATGGAAAAATCCCTGAAACGGGTCTAAAGATTTAAATTTTTTGCATTTTTTTGGTGTAGATTTCAAAGTTTTTCCGCCATTTTTAAACGAGTTATGACGTCATCGATATTTTTTTTAAATTGCAACCCTCCATTTTTATTGCGGAATATGAAAGAGGATTTTTTTCTGAATCTAGTACAGTCAATATTAATATTGGTTACATAAGAAAATTTTCGAGAAAAATTACTTTTCGATCATTCACTCGAAATAACATTAATTGAAAAGAAATGTTAAACTAAAAAAATACTTTTATAATCATTATTAGAAATCTGCATACATTTGAGATGCTTACAAGAACAAAAAATTTCAAAAAATTAACTACATCATAGAGCTTCATAAATATAGAAGACATTGCATAGAAAAATATTTTTAATTCCTCAAACATGTTTTTATATCCAACTAATTACTAACAAAGTATTTTAATTTGATTCAATTTTTGGTTCATTTCAAATATAGAGTAGGTCACTTAAAAGAATCACTCTGTATATATAAAAAAAGATGATTAGTGAAGTGAAAAATAGTATAAGTTGAACAGTACAAATACAAAAAAAAAGATATATATAGAAAATCAAAATACAAAAAAAAAATCAACTCAACAAAAAAAAAATATGTGTATGAATATTTATACTGTGATGAAAATAAAAGTAATTGGTGTGTTTACCTTCCGGATCTTTAGCGATTACGGTTGAACTACGGTCGACTCCTTTCTTGTCCTCTGAGCGTAGCCCAGAAACAATACAAATTATCGATCTTTACACTTACACGAATTACAATAAGCAAGACAAGAGCAACGATCACAAATGAATCATTTTTTTAACGTATCTATCCAGAGCATGTTTTATTTATTTTTTTTTGAAAAACTTTATAAATGTGACTGCCACTTTTGATATAATTTTTTTAATTTCTTTGGTATGTACAAAATAACATTTATTTTTTATACAAAAACATTAAGCTATAGGAAGTATTATACAGGGTGAGTCAATAGTGTGGAGACGGAAGATAGATGTCACCATATATTACCATCAAAGCTGCATCGATTAAAATTATTTTCTGCTATACCTATTTTTTTTTAAATAGAATCCTAAATACTACAACTGCATGTAGAAAGAAAACAGAACTGAGGGAGAAGGTGGCGGCAGAGATTAGAAGGATAACAAGGGAAGGGGAGGTCTGGAGGTATCTGAAAAAGAGAAAGAAGGGTAGGGAGAGGATAACCAGCGAAATACACATGACAGATTGGAAGAGTTACTTTATGGGATTATTGGGAGGGGTTGAAACGAGGCTAACGGGTTTGGGAGGCTATGAGGGAGATGGGGGAGAGGAGATAGCAGAAGAGGAGATGGAAGCAGTGCTTAGGGGATTGAAGAAGGGAAAGGCGCCAGGGGAAGATGGGATCCAGAACGAGGCATGGTTGGAAGCATCAAGGGTGGTGAGAGTGAAGTTGTTGGAGGGGATGAATAGCGTATGGAGAGGGGGTGGGTTTCCGGAGGGATGGAAAGTGGGGGTAATTTGCCCAGTATATAAAAAGGGTAATAAGGGAAGGGTAGAGAGCTACAGAGGAATTAACCTACTAGACTCGGCATACAAGGTATACACGAAGATACTGCTGGGAAGACTGGAGGAGGAGATGGAGTTGGGGGGAATTTTGCCGGATGGGCAGGCAGGCTTTCGGAAGGGAAGGGGAGCAATCGACAACGTGTACGTGTTGAAGCATCTGGCAGATAGAGAGCTGGATAAGAAGGGAGGGAAATTGTACGCCCTGTTTATAGATTTGAAGGCGGCTTTTGATAAGGTGGATAGGGGAAAGTTGTGGGAGGAGATGGGGAGGAGGGGGATCACGGAACACCTAATTGCGAGAGTGAAGGAAATATACATGGAGACTATGGCTAGGATAAAAGTGGGAGATAAGCTGAGCGACGTGTTCTGGACGACGAAGGGACTGAGGCAGGGATGTCCGCTGAGCCCAAGTCTGTTTGCACTGTATACGGCGGACCTGGAGGATAGATTGGGGAAGGGGCAAATGGGAGGGTTGGTGGTGGGAGGTAGAAAGGTGCATATGTTAGCATACGCGGATGACATCGTGGTCATGGCGAGAGAAGCGGCGGAGATGAAAGATATGATAAAGACATTGGAAAGATATTTTAGGGGGAAGGGGCTGGAAGTGAATGTGGGGAAGACAAGGATGATGAAGTTTTGTAAGGGTGGGAGAAAAAGAACAGAAAACTGGAGATGGGAGGGAAAAGAGATCGAGGAGGTTAGGGAGTATACTTACTTGGGGTATGTGTTCAGGGAGGACAACAGGGAGGGGTCGCATGTGATAGCTATGGCAAAAAAGGCGAATAAGGTGATGGGACAAGTATGGGGTTGGGGGAAGAGAGTCTTTGGAAGGAATGTGGCAGCGAGGAAGATTATGTTTGAAGGTCTGGTTAGCAGTGTGATGATGTATGGAGCAGAGGTATGGGGATGGAGAGAGCAGGCAATGCTGGAGGACGTGCAAGCTAGATACTGGAGATGGGTGCTTGGGGTGGCGAGAGAAACACCGGGGTATATAGTGAGGGAAGAGGTAAAGGTGGATAAGGTCAGAGTGGAGGCGGGCAGGAGAGCAGTGAAATATGAAGAAAGAATAGAAGGGAGGCCAAACTGCGGGATCTTGGGGGAGTGTTGGAGGGAAATTAGAGAGGGAAAGATCAGATATGGGAAAGGAGACAGAGACAACTATTATAGACGAGCGGGCTACTCGGTAACTGAGATAAATAGTAGACGAAGGGTGGGTAGGGAGATGTGGAGGGAGTTGAGAGATAGGGACCGAGATGTGCAGAGACAGGAAAGAAGGACACAAATAAAAGAGGGGAGGTATAACGAAAGGTACAGGGACATAATTACGGAGGGGCTGCCTAGATACTTGTTATTGGAAGGAGATGAGGAAGGGAAGAAGTTGGTGGCTAGGTTCCGTTGTGGAAACGAGGAGAGAGCTAACAGATACTGGATGGCCGATGAGGAGAGGTGGTGTAGGCTATGCAGGGAGGAATGGGAAACGTTGGAACATATGTTGAATGGGTGCAGTGAGTTGAGGGAGGAGGAGTTGGACCGAGGGCAGATCTTAGGAGAGGGGGGAGAGGGGAAACGATGGATGAGAATGGTTGTGGGGGTAAGGAGACAAAGGGAAGGATGAGGGGATGATTGGGCCGAGGAGCCGAGGGTATGGAAATGGCGGAAGAGGGTAGAGGGTGAAAATAATATACTAATAATATATATATTAGAATGTATTAAGGGGATAAAAATTGTAAATATTGAAAACAATAAAATGCTTATTATTATTACTACAACTGCATATCGCGTTTTCAAATTTTGAATGCAAGGTTGCCAAGTTATTCCTAATTTCGTGAAAATTTTTAAAAAATTCGCGTGATCACTTAAAATTCGTTATCAGTGTTATTATTAAATATTGAAGATTGCAATTTAGCATATTGATAAACAAAGCTTGGGTCTTTCGAACTCCGCTAATACAATTGGATGTTATTATACAGAGTGTTTACTAGCGGTGGAACGGATAGTTACCAAATATCTGGCTATGGCCGGATATTAAAAACCTATTACAACATCATTCACACGAATTAGTATCTCGGTATGTACAAAATAACATTT